TGGACCACGCATGGGACTGCATCGTCGGAGAGGGGAGAGCGGGCAGTAGAGGGCGACAAAGTCCTCTGCTGCCCGCAGATAAACGGAGAAGGAAGTGACGCCACCATCAGCGTCAGCCTGAAGAAGCCGGCAGCTGTCGGCGAAACTGTAGCTACAAACAGGTAAACAAAACTGTTTCTGTGTTTAAAAAAGAACGAAAGAATGGATTTAGAAAGACACAGCAAGAACACACCTAAGTTGTCCTTTATGTTTTCCCTGGTGAACTTGATGTTTTGGTCCACGGCGTTGATGTGCGTAGTGAAGGCTTCCACTTCTTGTGTTTTGATTTTGACCCAGGTGTCATCCACATATCTGTACCAGTGGCTGGGTGCTCTCCCTTTGAAAAAGCCAAGAGCCTTTCTTTCCACTTCCTCCATGTAAAGGTTGGCTGCAATAGGTGACACGGGGGAGCCCATGGCGCAGCCATGTTTTTGTCTGTAGAAACCTTCGTTGTATGTGAAATATGTAGTGGTGAGGCAGAGGTCTAACAGTGTGCATATCTGATCGGGTGTGAAGTTGGTCCTGTCCTCCAAGGTGCTGTCTTCTTGTAGTCGTTTTCTGACAGTCTCCACTGCCTCCATAGTGGGTATGCAAGTGAAGAGGGAGACTACGTCAAAGGACACCATGGTTTCATCTGGATCCAGGGTAAGTTTCTGGACCTTGTCAGTGAAGTTGGTGGAGTTCTTGATGTGGTGTGGGGTGTTCCCCACCAGAGGTGCAAGGATAGTAGCAAGGTGTTTCGCCATGTTGTAGGTGACTGAATTTATGCTACTGACAATGGGTCTGAGAGGGATGCCTTCCTTGTGGATCTTGGGAAGTCCGTAGATGCAGGGTATGGCATCTCCTGGATAAAGGCGGTGATATGTCAGGCGGTTGATGGTTTTGTCCCTTTCAAGGCCTTGAAGGCAAGCTATAACTTTCTTTTTGTAGCTGCTTGTGGGGTCTCACTTTAAGGCTTCATAGGTGTTTTTGTCACGGAGGAGAGTAGTGAGCTTTGCGTGGTAATCCGTTGTGTTTACGATCACGGTGCACCTTCCCTTATCAGCTGGCAAGATAGTGATGGTGTGGTCTTTGCTCAGTGATGCGACTGCCTTCTTTTCTTGTAACGTGAGGTTAGGCGGAGGGACTTTGGCACTGGAGAGGGTGGCTGAGAAGTTCATCCTGATCTGTTCTGCTTCTGTCTGAGATAATTTGTTGATCCGTATGGCAGTTTCAGTGGCTGTGATGAGGTCCACTATGGGCAACTGTTGCGGAGCAATGGCAAAATTGAGTCCTTTGGCTAATACGTTCATTTCAGGTTCAGTGAGGTCCCGGTCTGAAAAGTTCTTCACCCATTTTCTTCAACTGTCCTCCGGTGTAAGTTCTTCTCTGCGTTGTGTAGATTCAGACTGAGGAGTGAGTGTTTTTGAAAGCAGGTTGTGCAATTTCCTGCATTGTCTTTCTTTTCCTTTGGAGTGTTGGGCCCACTGAGCCTTCTCCACAAACTTGTAAACCTCTTCTAAGATTGGAGAGGGTAGAAGGGGTTCCAGTTCCTGCAGAGTCTGGCGAATCTTGCTTTGGAGGGCATCTATATTGAAATGGACCTGACTTATCCTTTCACTTAGAAGCTGATTTTGTGCTCTTCGTAGAATTAAGTCCGCTCTGTGTCCTCTGACAGTGAATCCTAGGCGCAGGCTCTTAGGAACAACTCTGCTTTGTCTGCATCTCAGGTTGAAATGGAGGTGGTTCCTGTAATCTGCTAGTTTTCTAGATTCCCTTTCATATTCCCGCACCAGTTGAAGGGCGTTCCTCCCAAAATGTACGGCAATATGTTAAGAAGTTATGTTTTTCCTAAAATCTTGCAAATGTGATAGGATGGCGGTTTTTGGTCAAAAGTCTTTATTGCTTTTCTATACCTTTGTTTAATTGTTTAATTGTATTTTTAGAAAGCACAAAATTGCCTTCCATTACTATGCAGACGATACACAGATGTATCTCCCGCTAAAACAAAAAGATGGCTGCAGTATAAAATCTCTAGCGGTTTGTTTGGATGAGGTAAAATCTTGGATGGCTTTTAACTTTTAAATTTTAATGAGAAAAAGACAGATATAATTGTCTTTATTACTGGTACCTCCAGCAGGCCCACTCCTGTGGACTTAGGCCCCCAGGCTCTGCACAGAAAGCCAACCGTGGCCAACTTGGGTTTTAAAATGGACAGTGATTTGGACAGTCAGATCAGTGCAGTTGTAGAATCCAGCTTCTTCCATTTGAGACAGTTGGCAAAGGTAAGGCATATTTTGACTAAAGAGGATTTTAAAACTAATCCATGCTTTCATTACAACTCGTCTGGATTACTGTAACTCTTTGTATTTTGGTATGAGTCAGTCCTCACAGTCTCAACTTAAGCAGGTGCAAAATGCTGCTGCTCGACTTTTAACAGGTGCAGGGAGGAGTGAACACATCACTCCTGTTTTATCGTCACTGCATTGGCTTCCTGTCCATTTTAGGGTTAATTTTAAAATTCTTTTATTAGTTTTTAAGTCTTTAAATGGTCTTGCGCCGCCCTACCTCTCTGAGCTACTGCACGTTCACTCCTCCTCTCGGTCGCTCAGGTCATCTGATCACTTGCTCCTGGTCGTTCCAAGGACACAGCGTAAGCTCAGAGGGGATAGGGCCTTCGCTGTTGCTGCTCCCAGACTGTGGAACTCTTTGCCGGCACATCTTAGGAACGCCTTTTCACTGGAAACCTTTAAATCATCTTTAAAGGCCCACCTTTTTAGCTTGGCTTTTAACACCGTATAAAGTTTGGATTTCTATTTGATTTTAGTGTTTATGTCTTAGTGTGCTTTTAATTTTGTACTGTATTCTATTTTATTCTGTTTTATGCTTTTATGTTTTATGTTCAGCACTTTGGTCAGCGAGGGCTGTTTTTAAAGTGCTTTATAAATAAAGTTGGCTTGGCTTGGCTAATGCAGACTCACTGGTAAATGACCATGTTGTGGAACTATATTCAATGTGGGATAAAATCATACAGTTAAGATACAGTTTAGCTGCTTCCTGTGACATCAATGGTCTTATTTTTTATAAATGACACAGATTACAATTTAGAGGTTTAATTACTTGTTTGATATGTTTTTTGAATGTAAGGTTGCAGTCCAAGGTGACACCCAGATATTTATAATTTGTAACCAACTCCAATTCCTCAGCTTCCAGGAACACTGAAGACCCAGACCATACTTTTGTTTTCTTAACCAGAGCAGATTTTACAGGTTTTTTTTTTTTTGTAAACTTCATGCACACGGTTTTCTTTGTGTTCAGGGGAAGACAGTGTTCATTTAGCAGGTTCGGATTTTGGACATGGCGTTTGTAAGCATTTCTGCAACAATTTTCTTGTCCTTACCCTGAACAAAGATCCCAGTATCATCAGCATACATAACTGTGTTAAGTTCAGGGCATACAATCGGTAAGGTATTTATGTAAATAGAAAATAGTATTGGTCCCAAAATTGATCCTTGTGGAACTCCGACCTTACAAGTAACAGAGGCAGATCTGACACCGTTCACAGTAACACATTGTGTTCTGTTGTTGAGAAATGATCTAAACCACTGAATGCAATCACTTAAGTTGAAATAAGTGAGTTTTTTCAATAAGATTTCGTGGTTTACAGTATCAAAGGCCTTCTTTAAATCCAAAAATTCTGCTCCCTCCTATGGATTTGTATCTAATAGACCCTTAGACATTTAGCTCGTTATGCGACAGGTTAGAGCACAGTCTCATGTTAGAGATTTGGCATGAGAACATTGAGATACCTCACATGCTGATGGCATCTAAAAATATTTTTTTCTCAAAATAAAGAATAATTTTAATCACAAATGAAACGTACAATCGTAGAAAAACCTCCTCCAATCAGTGTTCACATCCTGTTCTCACTGATTGGATAGAAATCCCTCCATCAAACTGTGTGTGTGTGTGTGTGTGTGTGTGTGTGTGTGTGTGTGTGTGTGTGTGTGTGTGTGTGTGTGTGTGTGTGTGTGTGTGTGTACATACAAGTGTGTTGTGAACTGTTGTGATTTTGCTCTGATGTAACCATCTTTACGCTGACAAAAATGTGACTAAGTAACTTTTACTTTGAGTGCATTTTATTTACGATACTTTTTGCTTTTACTTGAGTAAAAATTTAGGTAAGTACTTTCACTTATACTTGAGTAAAAATGTATCAAAGTATTGGTACTTGTACTTAAGTAGGAAATTTTAGTACTCTTTCCACCTCTGGGTGCTTCCCACTACCCATCAAAAATCTTATCTCTCTGATTTAGTAAGAGCTTATAATCTATTTTTATCAATAAGTCATGTGATCAATAGTTTCTGATTAATGTGCTTCTGAGTATTAACGACTGTTTTAGTCTGTTCTGACTGCTTGTACATGTTATATACGAGAACTGTCCTTTGTCTTTATGCGTAACTGTTTTATCTGATTTTATCTTGTTTGTTTTACCTCATCTATTGTTCTTTGGTGTAAAGCTAACTGTGTGTCTGTTCTGCTGCCTCTTGGTCAGACCGTTGTTGTAAATGAGAATGAGTTCTCAATCCACTCTTCTGGTTAAAGAAAGGTTAAATAAAAATAAAGAAGCTGTGTTACGACCCGTCTAGGCGAGCCACAACAATATGAGTGTGGATTACCCCTTCTACCCTAACCCAAAGCAACCACACGCTCTAAGGACATAATCAAGGTGTTTATTTACAAAACGGCCATTTATTCTTTTTACATTCTAATTTACAGGCTCAGAAGTGAATCTCTAATTCAACAACTGAGGTAGGAAATCAAACGCGGGTGAACCAACGCCTTGAATAACAAACAAAACGTCCTTTTCTGGTTTGTAATCTAACCTCAAAAAAATAAAAGGGAAACAATGACGTCAGCTTACCTCCCTGGACAACAAAAACAAGAGACTAGAAAGGGTTTAACAGAGAAGGCAACTCACCCCTAGGATTCACCCGTAGGTCCCTCTGAGCACAACACACGAGGCACCAACACAAGCGGTGGCTGGTTGGGGACAGCTGACAGGACATTCACAGCTGCTTCTCATCAGGATGCTTTCAGGGAACTCATGGTATCCAGCCTCCAATCAGGTCACCTCTGGGCTGAATGACAACGAATCAGGGCACCTCTGAGCACCTGTGAACTGGAAGTGATATTTAATTACAGCCATTATTATCAGAGGGACAAATTATACAACAAAAGAATACCTTACGCCTCAGGGGTGCAGCAGGCTGTTGTTCTTCTCTTTCCTGCTCTGGCTTCATTGAAACAATTGAAGGGTCACTCCATGTGTGCCCCATGTGAGTAAGGAGGAGGAGGAGGTGGGGGAAGAGAATGGGTGATACTTTACAGTATTCCTTTGGGAGAAGCAGCCACTCATTTACATTGCATGGTGTGGATAATGTGCAGTGTAAACAAAAAACTGCTTACAGTTGAGTGCTTTAAACCCCACAAATGATTCTGTTGGGTGCCGCGAGATATCATAGGTCTCAATCCGCCGATGCGTCCATCTGTTTATTGGGTGGCTGCTGGGAGATGAGAGACAAGTGACAATATTTGTGGCATTAAAAGTGGGTTAGGGTTCACACAGCCTTGTACATGTCTCAGCTGAACACTAGAGGGACCACTCGGCTCTCTGACTAACAGGCGTGATGACATCAGTCATTCCCTCTGAGAATTGCAGATTAAGAGCTATTAAGAGGAAACAGAAGGTGCAGATTGTATATATGTGTTTGAACACATGATTTGTGCATTGTTGTATTTCCATTGGTCTCAGAGACAGGAAAACTAGGAGACGATTACATTTTTGGTCCTTTTTAAAACACAGAAAGGTTTTATTTACCTTGCTGACAGTTTTGTGTCAGCAAGGTAAAAAAAACTTTTCTGTGTTTTAAAAAGAACCAAATATGCTGTAAGAAACTAGACACAGCAAGACCATACCAAAGATGTTTAGGAGACAATTAGTTGAGCTGATGGTAGTTTCAGTAAATAAAAATAAAACTAACGAATGACTCTAAGTAGAAAAGCTGAGCTGAGGATACTCTTCTTTTACCAAAACCATTTAAAATCTTTAACCTCTGTTCTAGACATCTATAGTCTACATCAGGGGTGCCCAATCCTGGTCCTGGAGGGCCGGTATCCAGCTTTTAACCCTTTTTCAACACACCTAAATTCAACCAGCAGGTCATTAACAGGCTTCTGTAGAGCCTGACGAACTGTTGCACAGGTTATTCAACCACTGAATCAAGTGTGTTGGAGCAGAGAAACCACTAAACCTGCTGGATACCTGCCCTCCAGGACCAGGATTGGGCTCCTCTGGTCTACATCTATAGCAGGTCAAAATTCTCACTGTTAGACTCCAATGATATATTAAACTGAGATTTTGTTATTGCAACAATCAGCAATTTATACAGAAAAATCATGACGATCAAGGGTTAGGGTCAGATGTGTACACCCCACTGTAGCGCTTTACTCCTGACCTCACACAGAGGCTGCAGCATGAAGCCTGATTTATACTTCTCCATCTGCGTTGGTGTGGAGACATGCAACGCCATGCCAAATATTCAAATATCCGTCAAAAGTGACGGAGATTGCGACCTTTGATTGGTCAGGATGCCGCTTCCTGTGAATTTGTCCCCAGCATCGCCGCTGCTCCATTATAAAGTAAAACGATATTTAGTGGCAGACTTGAAGAACTCGTTGTGGAAAAGTCCAACAATATGAACGTTTATTCACTCGTGAGTGAAGGAGTACAAAATACGGATCCAGCGTGGAAAACGTGGGTTTAGAGGTGGCAACCGCATGAAGAGGTGGAGGAGAATGAAGGACAAATTTGTCCACGTTAAAAGTCTCTGAAATATTTAAACACATTTAGGGACGGGTACCGAATTCGGCACTTTTTAAGGCACCGACCAAATTCAGGTCCGACTGAGTAGAGATTCACGTCGTATGAAACGGTGCCTTGCTTCGGTACTCGTGCCGCGTGCCAGTCGTCAGTCACTGTGGGCGAGCTGTAAACAAAGCAGCACGGCAGCGAGGAAGCGTTCTGAACTTTGGGTGCACCTCACTAAATGGGTTGGGTAACTGGGTTGTGATGAAACCAGCAACAATGATCTATGTGAGGCATCATCATCCTCTTAATCTGCTCCGGTACTTCAGTAAATTGATTAAGATAACACTAGCTTGATATGCTAGCTTCCATTCAGCTAATGGTGCATTCGCTTTCTCCTCGGAACTCTGAAATTCCAACTAGAAGAAAGTGAATGTGCTCTAAAGTTTGGCTTCACTTCACTAAATGCGATAGGCTGTTGGGTGATGATGAAACCAGCGACAACGATCTGAATATGAGGCATCTTATTCTGCTCCAGCAGCTAAATAAACTGTTTAAGATAATCTTAGGTGTGTTGTTGCTGTGCGTTATTTCTAATTCCATGTTGTCGTTC